TTTTTAAATGTTATTTCTCATCCTTCACAAAGACACATTGGACACTAGTATTTTAAAAGTACTTATATTATTTTAACCCTTTTAAAAGCTACAAAAAGATGAGAGAAAAGAAAAAAAGAAAAATGACTAAGTTTTTGACTTGAAAGATAAAATCAAAAAAAAAAAAAAAAAAAAAAAAATTAATTGCTGACTTTATATAATAAATCCTAAGATGTTTAAATTGGAGCCTTGCTGTGTTCCAGAAAAAAGACATTTCTACCAAATTGCTCTAGAAAATGTATTATTTTACTCTTTATAACCAATCAAGGAAAGGAAAAAGTAAAGGGCAACTCAGTAATCTAAAGTAATATTCAATAAATTACAAAATGAAAATTTTACAACCAATCATTTTTGTTTTCCTTAAACATACACTCAACATTGCAAAGTATGGATTTTTTTAAAGTAAATATTAGGCTGTATTAAAATTATGTTCACTGTTTTTCTTTTAAATATCTTTACACTGAACTTTAGAATAAAGGCTAAGTATAAAAAGTCAATACACCTTAATATTTTCACTTTAGCATAACCAAAATAGTTGTTAAAAGACTTCCACACAAACCTATATTCTAAGATATGGGGAGTTAATTCTTTTAAAGTATTGTTATATTAAAAACAGATTGATTAATGACAGAACTGTAATTGTAGATTGTGAAATATTTGCCTTGACTCTAAATCATAATCCTCATCTAATTAACATGGGAGACAAAAGAAAAACTAAGTAATTAAGCATCTTAATGACATTTGATTTTTAATTGGTAAAAAAAAAAAAATTAAAAAAAAAAAAAACAGGTTGGAAAAAAATTGTACATTTGCCAACAAATCAGGGAGATGAGATTAGAAATTTATTTCTTGTTTTATTGATTTTTGTTTCAACATGTAGATAATAAATTCAAAAGGGTGACAATTTTAACATCATGATAACAAATGTTAGAAATATGAAATACACTAATGAAAAAAATGCTTTCATGATAGCCATTATGACACAGGCAGGGAGAAAAGGGGTACATGAAAGATTGGGAGAATCATTTTTTAATAAGAATTTGATAATTTGAAGAATAGAAAATACAATATTTTCGCCCAGTTAAGTTCTTCAGGAGAATCACAGCCCTAGGTTTTGGTGTTATTCTGAGAAATCATCTTCTGCTAGCAACCATAGGATATAATTTGTCTTCAATATGGAGTGATAGATATATATATATATATATATATATATATATTATATATATCCATACACAATGTTTTGTTTATAATGTACCCAACTTATTGGTCCATATTTTTTTTTCTTTAATTTGTTTATTATTATTATTATTATTATTATTATTATATCTATGACATTAAATGTTATTTTTCTTTTTGCAGGGGTAAAAGAAGAAGAAAAAAAGACATGTATTTCAATATAGAATTATTTTCATTTATTTTTTTCTTTTTAGGCAACCCTGCTTAACTTTTTTTCTTCAGAAAAAAAAAATTAAATAATTTATCTTAAAATATTTTACAAAAAAGAAAAAAAAATATAAAATAAAAAATATGTAAAAAATAAAATAAATAAAAAGAAAGAAAAATGATATGAAAGATTACATCAGATTATTTTGTTATCTATTAAATCTTAAGCATCTTTTTGTAATTATTCATTATTCTCCAGTAGCAAAGGAGCAAAAAGGGCAGTTTTTGTTTTTAAAGTCATTTTTATATTAAAAAAATAAAATAAAAAAAAAGCCCAAACAAAGCATGAAAAACAATGAATTAAAACAAATTACAATGAATTGCATGTTCATGTCCCTGAAAATGTCAAACTCCATTGTGCACTTTCTATTAACCACCAATAAAAATGATTTTAATGGAAATCATTTTGAAGATACAGTTAAGCAAGACTTGTTTTAACCAATGCAAAGTCTAGGTGACGTTAAAAATTAAAATAGTTGTTAACCAAACTTCACAAAATGTCAGAGGTCAAAGGTTCACAAAATCTTTTTAGTTTAAAGCAATCCAGGTATCAGATTATACAACTGGAGGAAGAAAAAAATAACTGCAAAGAAATCTGAACCCAAGTTTCCAAGGAATGAATTAAGAGCAAGTAAATTCTTCACTATATTAATAGTAAAAAAAGAAGAAGAAAAAAAATTAAAAAAATAAAAGATTTAAACAAATCTTAGAATACAAACCTTACTTGTGGGTTCACTAAAATCTTGTTTATTGTTAGCTTTGGATAAAATAATGTTGATTACTTAACTACTGAAAATCTATTTAAAACAGAATATCCGTTACAGAAAGGATTAGATTATTTTGAACAGTAAAGTTTATAATTTTGTAAGATCAATGGAAACTTTAATAAAAGACAGTTTTATATTGAAGCTAAAGGAGTGGCCACAGACAGATGATGTGTTAAGGTGTCAAATGTATATTTGGTCTACATTGTCAAGAAAGCATTTACTATATATACTTAAAAAAAAAAAAAAAAAAAAAAAAAAAAGAACACGAAGCAATAAAAATAAGTAAAATTCTTACTATAGCAGTTTAAATAAAAATCAATTGGGAGTATTGTCTCATTTGAAGTCCTATAAAAATAAAATAAAATAAACAAAAATTTCCTCCCTCCCACTGTGAAATACTATGCTGAATGGTTAACAAAATCCAAGTACCTTAGTACTTTTGAAATAATAATAAAGAAAAACCCTATCTCACATCAAACAATTTACCTATGACTAATTAAAACTCATGATTGGTCAACAGTTAGAAAAAAAATCAATAAATTAAAAAAGCATTCAAAATTTTCAGGAAAAAAACCTTCAGACCTTGAACATTTTGGCTTATAAATATAAGCACACATAAAGTATCTATATTATATACAATATACATAGAGTGTATACAAAATTACATATATATATTTACATACATACACATATCAACACACAAACACATTGTTATGATAGTGTTAATATGTAGCTTTGTCATATAATGTTCACTTTCCTCTTTTCATTTGTATATAGAACAGTTTTTAGATTAATATTCAAGATCCTTTGAAGCTGAAAGATTTCTGTTTCATACTTTTGTACAAAGAGTTCAATTAATTGTACAATGTTTTTAATTTGAATTAATTATTTAATTTTTTTTTTCTTCTATTTCTTTTTTAGAAGTGTTGCATCAAAACTGAAGGCTGGCACTGACTTGCACCAAGAACCAATTGCCAGAATAAAAACAATGAAAATGTTTCTATCCAATGTTATCACTGCAGTCATCATCATCATCATCATCAACCTTTAGTGATGCTTGAAATCAAAAAGGCACAAACATGGTTAAACTCATTTTATGGACAAGGGAAGGGGGGGGTGACTGAGTAAAATGACTATCTTTCTTGTAGGAGCCAGGGGATAAGGAGAGAAAAGGCACAAGCATTCTCCACCTCTCAATGAGTTTGTTTTGGGGGGTTTTTTTTTTTTTTGTTAGTAGTCTAGTTTCAGACTACAGAAGCCTGACTGGCATTCATATATATTTAAGTAAAAATGCAAATTGATAATTAGTAATCTTTCTATATTCTTCCCTTGAAATTTTGACAATTTTCTTCTAGTGCTACGACTGGTAAATGACAAATTTCAAATTGTGTGATAAGAGATTAATGATTCTTTAGGTTTTTAGAACTTAAAAAGAAAAAGAAACTGAACTAGATTTACCAAAAACCAAAAATTAAATAAAAATTATTAATAAAATAATAGAATTCAACTTAAATATCTTATTTAATGATACATTTATTTGCTCAGATGTTAATCAACAAGACTCCACCCAAATTTTAATACATTATTCAGGTAAAAAAAAATTGTATTATAATGTTCCTTTTAATAATCTTAAATGAGAAAAAATAAAAATAACTCAAATCCTGCAAGGTTTTGGATTTTATTTTTACTTACAAATAAAAAGATTTTAACTTAAAATTTATGCAGAAAATAATAGGATAAAACTTAAAAACCCGAAAATAACCAATGGTATAAAAATTATTTTGATAATATTTAAAGCTGAAAGGTAGTTTAGACATCTATAATCCATTTTTTTTTTCTTTTTTGAGAAAAATTATAAAACCATTCTCCTTCTAATTGGGAAAAATTAAAATACCGCAGTAACTTAAATATATATATATTTTTTACACTTACTAATGTATTTGAGCCTCTTGGGTATATTATAAACAATTTCCAATCCTTTTATTGCATGTCAAAGACAATTGAACATAAAATAAATTGTTCTTCAATCTATTGCTTTAAAAAAGGAAAAAATTAGATGACTTAACTAGATGACAGCCATCCAGGCCTTAGCAAAAAAAATACCAATGAGATTTACTTAAACAGTAAAATTTGTGATTTACAGTCAACATCACATCAAAGGCAGAGGGACTTATCCAAGAAGTGAACTGACTTTGGCAATGTGGGAAGAATTTAGAGAAATTTCTCTTTTTCCATCCCTGTAATTTTTATTTTTTTGTCAGCAGGTACTTACACTATTCACTTATCAAGCAAATTCTGTGTGGATGGACTCTGGGTACAGGGTTTGAAAAACTGGCCCAAGGTTCAGATGGTCAGCTTCCACCCTGGGAACTTGAACCTGCTTGTGCCTCATGGCAAGGGGCAGCAGCAAATGAATGCAAATTTTTACCAGATGAGCCCTGCCACTCACCTGTATTCAGTGAATGAACATGGTTTGAAATTTAACAGTTGTAGCCTGTCACTAAATGTGACCGGCTACAACTGTTTCAATGATTTGTAATTATGTTAGATTAATAATAAGTGAATCAATGATGATGATTAGGATGCATTAATAATCAATAATATTCCTGCTGGTTGAGGGAGTAATGATATCTGCACCCCATATGGTGGGGGACAAAAAAAAAAAAAAAAAAAAAAAAAAACAACAATGAAAACATTACTGCCAACAACAGTACAAACTAAAAAAAAAAAAAAAAAAAGTATTAGTGCTGGTTACTTATGATAAACATAACGGTTTAGATTTGATTGATTCAAGAAAGATGATGCAAAAGGTGAGGAATTAGGAAGCAGTAAAGGCGGGGGTAGATAATAGTCTTTGGGTGGTCGGTAGTCTAACCCTGTGGAAGGGTGCTGTATTGATGACAGTGATGGCGGCTGTTGCTGCTTTTGTTGTTGATGCTGTTGTGATTGTTGTTGTTGTGGTGGTGGTGGCGGCGGAGGAGGAGGTGGCGGCGGTGGAGGAGGAGGAGGCGGCATCGGAGGCTGAGGAAAGTGTGGAGACTCCAGCATTCGTTGCATCTGTGAAGAGGAGATCATGCCGGTGTGCATCAGATGTGCTGACTGAAGGGGCTGTGGAAAGGCTGGGTGCACTGAGGGGGCAGCAGGCAGACTGAGTCCTGCTAAATGAGGGTTGGACGCTGAGCTGAGAGTAGTTGGAGTTAAAGACTCCTGCTGCTGTGATGAAGAAGAGTATCTGTTGGTTGAGAGATGACTGGAGGCCTACAATAAATATACAAAAAAATTAAAGTCAACATTGGGGGAAAATAAGACACTTAAAAATCAAAAACAACACAAAAAAAAAAAAAAAAAAAAAAAATTTAATTTACATTATCCGCAGTGTTTTATGTAATTTTTATCAGAAAGCTTTAAATAAGTCTGAGAATGTCTTTCAGACTATGAAACCAGAAATGGTTAAAAAGAGCTTGATTGTTTTGTAAGCTTAAACTAGTGTTCCGCAAACTTTTAACTTCAAGACACAGTGTTGTAGCACAAGTAAAACTCTGGTGGCACTTTAAATTTTAATAAGGTCAAATTAGTCACGAAATTTAAAAATATGAAATTTTTGCTTAGCATTCCCAAATATTAGTAATACTTTCTAATAAAGTTTTTTCTTTTAAAGGGAATTTATGAAGAATCTGCGTTTCTTTGTTTGTTTTGTTTTTTTTCTTTAAAGATTAGCCAATAATGAGGGATTTAAATCCCTTGCAGAAACCAAAAGAGAAAGGATTATCCACTCCTTAAAGATTAAATAATTTAACATCCAATTTAAAATATCAAATAACAAAGACTTGACTTAGATATGGAAGCAATGTGCTTTGTAAATTGCTCTCCTGTTAACATGGGGTGCATCCAGCTACTTCTCAGTGTTCATTAGTGTGCCTAGGTGCACCAGTTGAATAACACTGTCTTAAACAGATACCTAATAACAATTAAGATTTAGCATTAAAATATATATCTATTTCATAAATGCATTTTTATAGCTAATCAGGGTCTCCAAACAAAATAAAAAAAAGTCTATCCTTTGTGGGGAGTGATTATTCTTTATCCCAAAGAGTTCAAAATTCAAAAATGTAGCTATTTCATTAAACTGTGATTTTTGCAAATTTTAATTTGGCAGTTTTTTTTGTTTTTTTTTAACATCATCAAATTGGAGCCTCTATTTTGGAAATAACCCGACTGGCTTAATTTTGATGATCTTTTACATAATTTACATTACCTGCAGTGTTTTTAAACTAATGTTCACTCAATACAAGGCCCAAGAGCCACTCAAGATAAAAGGTTACTGTGTGGTGTTGTATGAATGTAAGAAAGGGAAAGAAGTGAAGTTCTTGGAGACATACAAGAATGATAATGTTTAACTCTAGATTTGAAGAGGTCAAGATTTAATTAGTGAATAACATTTCAGAGTTCAAGCAGAGACATCAGAATTATAGAGTTGAAGTAGGCCTTAGAAAGAACCAGAAATCCAATCCTAAACAGGAAACAAGGGTTAAACCTATACTCCTGTTAAAAAAACTGGGGAGGAGTGTGAACCAGACAATAGGCAAACCTATCTACTCCTATCAAAAATCTTTAAATGAATTGTTAAAAAAAAAAAAAAAAAAAAATGTATGATTGTTTTGTATGCCTAAATAAACACCTATACAGCATTAAAATATACATCTGTTCTCTCTTAGCTAACATATTTAGATAGCCATCACTTTGATATCAGCCATCATGTAATAACACAATGTATCAGCTATATTATAGAACAGATGCATATTTTAATGATAAATGCATCTAAGTATCCGTTTATGCACACACCCCAAATATCCCTTTTTGTTTTTTTTATTGTTTCATTATTAAAATGATGATTTTTATCCTCACTTATGGCCTTGTGAGAGATTAAGCTTAGCTTAATGGTTATCTATCTAGATTTCTTTGTCATGGCATAATGGTTAACAATCTTATCTCTCAGATCATTATCACTGTAAGGAGTTCAAGCCTTACTAAAGAGCACCACATTTGAAGCATGAAGTAAACTACACTAATATGTTGTGAGACTGTGAACAGAGTTGGCCACATTTACAACCTTTTGCCAGACCAAATTGAGTATTATCCACATATATAAAAATATAATGTGCATAGATGTAGGTAATTATGTAGGCAGTGTGTGCAACACAGACTATACTCTGATCCTTGGCAGAGCACATATACATACTCAGGTGCAAAAGAAGTGTAGATTCGAATATAATAACTGTTTTTTTAACAGGTACAATATTAATCAGTTTAATAATTATAATAAAAAATACCCAATGCGATATTATTGTTTGTTTGTGGAAAAATGAAAAATTGAAACATACATCTTAGCTATGTTCCATGAATCTATAAAGCTAATAATAAAAAAAAAATTAAGCTTTAAATTATTATCCCATTAAAACAATTATTATCCCATTAAAAAAAAAATTAGAAACATTCTGGGAATTATGTATTTCAAGTATGAAACTTGAAAAATAAGATAAGGTTATGTATATTGGAGAAATAGATACAATTCATAATGAATATAAAGTCAGAAAATTCTTTTAAATTTAACATTGAGTTAAAAAAAAACAACTAATTTATTAAATAGCAATGAATATATTTGATAAACAAACATTTTCAAATTTCAAGGTGATAAAATAGGTTATATATATATATATATATATATATATATAAAAAAAAGAAACAATCTTTCAAAGTTATAAGAAAAAAAAATTACTTCTGGGAAATTAATGTTAAATCATGAAGGAAAATGTTATCTGATAGAAATTTTAGTTTTTTTTGTTCTTTCAAGTTCTTTATTTTAACATCAATTGTCAAAACTGAAGTTTTTCTGGACCCAAAACATTTATTTTTAAGTGGAATTTTATTTGTAACAATTCCTTTGTGGTTAGGCTTAATGTTTACTGATATAAATGATAAATACAATGTAGTCAATTTAAAATCACATTTAGTTTGCTTTAAATGAATTTAATCTTGTAACAGTTGAAACTTTTTCTGAAAGCAGCTATAATACAATACAGCAAAAATAAATGATGTGTGTGTGTGTGTGTGTATATATATATATATATATATATATAATTATTCGAAAATTATAACATAAATATGTTATAAAATCACGTTATTAAACGAATTCTAACCACACAAAAATATATAAAAATATATATTTCATATATATCTATATACACACTACTGCACAGTAGGTGAAAGAAAATAAAAACTACCTACAGATAAATGTGTACAGTGTACACACATGCTTCACTACAGACAAACACAGAAAAGCCTACATACAGACAAACATATATACATATACACATAAATATATCTACACATGTTGCTGTGTGGCTTGATATATTTACGCTGGCTTCTGTATGTGTATGCATATGCGTATATGTATGTGTGTTTCTTTCCCTATTGTCTGTTTCTCTGTTCTATTAGGCCATTTTTATCTATGTATATTTGCTCGTATAAGTTATATTTTAATAAGTGGTTAGAATTCGTCTAACACTTTCAATCTTAAATATTTCTTGGTTGTTGTAACGGAGTGTCTATATCAATGTATATGAGTGCATGTACGTGTCTTCATTGGTGTCTGTGTGTATGATAACTTGGATGCACCTTTCATTGTGTATGTATGTTTTTCTTTTTTTTTTCTTTTTGTAAAATGTCGTGGAGATATTTCCTGTCTTGTCACTTTTTTTGTATGTGTATATATCTAAATACGTCTGCATGTATGCTTATGTATTATAATCTGATTGTGTATGTATTATCTTTTGCAAGATGTCATCCTCCCCTGCCTATGTTTAGAATTCAAATGTATCTATGTTGTCATGAAGTTTTGAACAACAGTTGATCTTAACGTTTATTCCAACTTAATTTCAATAAAAACAAAATAAATAGAACAACATATGTATTTTTTCTTTTTTCATCAGTAATTTTATAATTTTAAACTTAATAGATTAAATTTAAATTTTAGAATGGGTAATTTTTAATTTCAAATTTTATCATATAATTTAATACTTATTAGTTAGAATAAATTCTATTTTAGTCTAACCCCAACATTAAGACATTAAATAGTTATTATAACCTTAGTTCATTGTCAAGTTTTTTGAATTCTCATATACTTGTATTTTGATTGGTCATTCCAGCTTATGTAACAGCGTTTCCCCTTGCGAGGTGTGGTTAATTGATTTGAACCTTTTAAAACCCTTTATTCTACATTCAACATCATCACTTGATAAGACACCAGAGGTGTTGAAACAAAATGGCTATTTTTGTAGTGATTTTATAACATATTTATGTTATAATTTTCGAATAAATAATTATATTTGCTCTACTCTGTATTGAGCACTCTTTTAAGAATAGTAATTGTTGGTTATTGGAATTTATTCTGTATACACCAATCCTATACTTATATATATATATATATATATATATATGTTTGACTACCTGCAAGGAACAAAATTATTTTGGATAGTTAATATGTTCCAACATTATTAATCTGATAAAAAATCCCTTTTGATTGTATATCAGAGGCATAAAAAGATAAACTGAATTGGTACATTTAATGACTGCTTCTTGGCTACAAACAGAAAAATAGTTTCCCCAGTTAGCAATTGTTTCAATTTCATTTTAAAAATTGAGTGGTTAAAAAAAAAAAGAAAAAAAAAAGAAAATTATTTTCAGGTCAGTATATTCTTAAATTTTTCCCAATATTTTATTAGACAGGAGGTTATTTATTTTTTCTTGGATGGAGTGAGATTAAAATATACTGATTTTTTTTTTTTTTTGCTGTTAAATATTTAACTGCTCAATTGTCTTTGGTGGTTTATTTTCTTCAGTTACTTTTTATTCTGTATTTGAAAATTTAAACCTCAAAAGACAATGTTAGAAACAAAAAAAAGTTGAAAATTCTATCAAAGAAAAACAAAAATAACAGAACTTGGTAGAAAACACAAATTGCAGAAACAAATAATTTGTACAAAATTCTAATTGTAATTGGTATCAATAATTTATTAATATAAAAATAATTTAAATAAAACATAACTTAATTTGGATAATTCCACTGTATTAACATTTTTATTTAAATGAATAAAAACTGTGATTAAAATTTGAGGAATATTTTAAATCTTTGCATTTTTCAAAGATTTACTTTAAATTATTGTACATGTGTGTACAAAGTCGAATATAATAAACTACACACACACACACACAGTAGGATGTTTTGACTCATATTTGATCTGAACCATACTATTGCTTTTAGGTTTCTGTGTGTGTGTGTGCGTGTGTAAGAGCGAGTGAGCTTTAATATAAGTATTTAAATACATACACACAGTCCTATACTGACTGTTTATATAAACAAGTGTTATCACATGTTGGATTTATTTAACAAATAAAATAAAGCCATTATTTTTTCATTCACTAATTATTACATAACACAGTAAATTCTGGCAGTTAGTATTTTAGAGCTGACTGTATATTAACTTGGAATAGTAGGTAAATTTTTTTTTAGTTACTTTCCAACTATTCCACTGCTTCATGTTAGTCATTTTCTGTTAACAAATAAAAAAAATTTTTGGTGGCACAGAGAAAAAAGTTGATAATTAAAAGATATATAAAGAATGCAATTTTTTTAAGCTTTGTCCTAAGAAAATTTTACTCTTAATTTTTATGTTGTGCATTGAAAAATCAGAAGAAAAAAGATTTTAAGGAGCCAGGAATTAAGTTAAGCATTACCAATAATTTATTATTTGTATAATTAGAATCTATTCCATAATATAAAACATAATTTAACTACAGTTACCTGTTACTCAGCCTGATTTCCCCTACTTACTACTCAGATAATCTGTTGTTATAGTAACAAGAGACGTTACTCAATAACAATAAATGAACATGCTTTGTGTAGCAATAAAAAATATCACTGTAGTAAATACTGAAGCTCAATTTGAATGCATTTGTTTTTCTTTTAATTTAAAGAGCACAATTCTTTCTTACATTCAATAATTTTTTTTAGATAAAAACCCAAGATTACTCATCTAGAAAATATAAACAATAAACATTGCAATTGCGGAATTACTTAAATACTGCCATAATTTTTGGATGGCATGGATAAATTAGTGTATATTTAAAAAAGAAAAATATGCATATGTACACACAGCTAGAACAAAATAATAGTAAAGTTTAAATAATTTGTCAAAAAACATCAATATAAATCTTGATCTTTTCGCTGCAATTAAATATTGTGTGTGTGTGTGTGTGCGTGGTGGTGAAGGCAACCATAGTTGTCTCCCCCGACCCTTGAACTACTCGACTATAAAAGAAATGGTCGAATCACACTTACGGACAATAGTTAAATTGTAGTGAATAAAGCTCCACTGCAACTTTAAACCATTGTGTAGCCATCAATCATTACTAAATGACGAAAGTGTTTTGTGCTTGAGCACAATCATCAAGCCATCTGGGTTGGATAGTAGCATAACTACTATCTACTAAACCAAGCTACTATCCAACCCAGATGGCCTGAAAAGTGGGTTGGATAGTAGCTCGGTGTAGTAGATAGTAGTTACGCTACTATCCAACCCAGATGGCCTGAAAAGCTGGTTGGATAGCAGCTTGGTGTAGTAGATAGTAGTTACGCTACTATCCAACCCAGATGGCCTGAAAAGCGGGTTGGATAGCAGCTCGGTGTAGTAGATAGTAGTTACGCTACTATCCAACCCAGATGGCCTGAAAAGCGGGTTGGATAGCAGCTCGGTGTAGTAGATAGTAGTTACGCTACTATCCAACCCAGATGGCCTGAAAAGTGGGTTCAAGCATGAAACAGACTGCTGCCATTTAGCATTGATCTCTGTGTATACACTGCTTATATTTACATATGCTCTATCCTGGATATCAAGTTTTTTTTACCCTATAAATATAACATACCTTAAAACTACATTTTTATAGATGTATATATTAGTTGCAAGCAGAGATAGTGGAAAAAGATAAGCAGTGTCTATCAGACTGATTATGAATTTATCCTAATACAAACCTTAGAGTTATATTTTTTGGAGCTGGTGGTCATGTCCAAAGGTGAACAGGCATCGACTGCTAAAGGGGAGGAAGAATGAGGATGAAATGAAGAACATGTTAAAGGATCCCCAGTTTCACTTTTTCGATGTTCATTTACTGAATTTTTATAGTTAACTCTGCCATTTACAGACTTTTTCAATGTTTTCATGGACAAGTCAGTTGGTTCTGACTGAAGGTCATTTGTACTTGGTCTGTGGACAGAGTCTAAATAGGGTGTTGCATGATTATTGGACAATTTCTGCCGTTTGGCATTAGAGTAATAAGGAGGAATAGGTTCTATCGGATGGGCAGCAGAGAATGCCAAGGTATTGGACGTTGTCTTAGATGTGTGGGCTGTGACAGGGGACATAAAGTGGTAGGAATCAGCAGAATAGGGATTGGACCTTTTCATGTGGTTCATATGGGCAGGCTGAGGTAGGGAGTCGTCCTTTGAGAGTCGAGCAAATTTGGGAATAGAAGATGCAGGAGCTAGCAGACCTTCAGGAGGATTCTGTGTAGTATGTTGAATAACCGACTGGCGAATGCCACTGCTACGTGGCTTTGTTTCTTCGCTTCGGTTTGACGTTCGACTTGTCTGTGAATGTGCAGATTTCGGCACATGCCATCGACCATTTTCTGGCAGACAATTTGTAGGTGGTGCTATTCCTGCAACGGCTGATGTTGGATGGAATATAGCAGATGTCTTGGATGAAATTAACGAAGATGATAGTGTGGGGCTTACACTGATGTTATTGCTCTGATTAGCCTCCAATGGACTCTGGGGAACCATGGTCACATTTTCAAAGCATTTGTTTTCCATAACATCGGTTGCTATTGTGAGTGGCCGACTTGGTTGAGTAAGAGAATGTGATACAGGTATCCGCTTTTGTTTATGCAATAAAGGTCCAAGAATGCTGGGACCTGGTCGACTTTTAATTTGGTTTTCCGACTCGTTTGTCTCACTGCCATCACTACACGGTGAGGATTTTTTTCCATCTGCATTTAAGTTCCCTTTGGTATCTTCAACTTCAATAGGACTAATCCTTTCATATGCTGGGTTTGAAGGTGGTGTTGGTGGTAGAACCATTATAGATTTCTCACCAAATTTAGGATTTTCCTGCTTGTCAGGCCCAAGCTGAATGGGGCTTGGGGATTGGCTTGCAAGTACAGCTGCAGCAGTTATCTCTTTTGGGATGGACATGCACACATTAGGTTTCCTTTCAGGAACAACAGATATTTTCTCTTTTTTTGTTAGTGCCGGATGAGACTTGAGTTCATGAAGGGTTACACTACATGTAAGACGTTTCAGCTGATGCGCTGTGGATTGGACTGGTGAAGAAAAGGATTCTACAGACAATTTTACGTCAGAGAATTCTTTTTTGATTTTCTGTGATGAAGCAGTATTGTCCTTATTTGGGAAACTTGGAGAGTATTTGTCACATGACAAAAGTTTCTTGACAGTTGGTTGACAGCCAGTTTTAAGACGTCGCATCTGAATAAAAATAAAGTGAAAATAGTTAAACACTGGTAGCGTAGAGTAAAACAAAGATTATGAATCATCACTAACAGTAGTGGTTATGAAAGAAATCAGGAGGAGATAACCTAGTAAAAAGATCACGTGAATTATTCCCCTTGAGAGTCCCCCCCTCTATCCTGATATCACTTTCATTTTAATTCCAAATGGCAAACTTTTTATATGTATTTCTCTAATAGTCGAAAGTGAAAAAGCACATTCTTGTCTCTTACGAAATTATGTGGGTACTTAACTGATTACTTGCTTAAAGCTATTAAAAAACAAGTTTTTAAAAAATTTATCATTTATTTAGCAAACAAATTCTCTTTTATTCTAGTATTTGTCATACATTTCTCAGCAATAATGATTTAACACAAACGATTATCAACTGGGCTGGAGAAGCTAAAATATTAAAAAGTACTTACAGAATCTCTATTTTGGTTATGATTTTTTCTTATTTCTTCCCACATCTTAGCCTTTTCCTCTATTTTTACCTCAATTTTGGATTTCTAAGAGCAAACAGAAAAAAGAGGTTTGTAAAACGTGAGTCAACTAAATAAACACACAAATCAATTGAAGTAAAAGCAAAACTTGCAAAATGACTGCTGGAAATTCTTCCACAAGGGCAGAGATTACAGTTGAAAATCTTCAAAACATTTTAATTGGAAATGGACAGACTTAATCAGATTTTTCTGGAATAACTGACAATAGCATAATTTTTAAATTCTAAGTTTTTTTTTTTAAACATTAAGGAGGAAGAAAAACGTGTCCAAGCATTCAGTATAACAACATACCTTGATTTCTTTCTTGCCATCGATACATGATAGGAGTTGTTTATTGTTGGAGTGTGAACTTTTCTTCTGCTTAATTTGAGACAAAAGACTGAAATCCTTCCCTTTCAAGTACAACTCAAATGGTAACAGCAAACTGAGTAGAGAGAGAGAGAGAGAGAGAAAAATTAAGATAAAATCAAGAACTGATATGCAGCAAAAACAAATTTTATGCCAGTTATGAAGATGCCAAGTGAAGTTATTGAGGTAAAGGCTTTTATTCTGGCTGATATAAACACAGATTGTTAGTAGAGATTACAGACAAGTTTTTTTTTTGTTTTTCTTTTTTAAAGTTCATGTTCACTCAACTTAGATTTAATCTTTCAAAATCTTCAATATTTACCATCTGTTACAAATGAGATTAATAAATACTGTTTATTATCTAGTCAGAAAGACTTCTTTCTTATTTAACTATAAATAGAGAGAAGTAAAATATTTTAAGAGTCAGATAAATTCATTCAGTATTTAATAACTAAAATGTTAAATTTTGAACAGTCAGAAATTTGTGTAAAACTTTCTTTCATATTAAGTAAAATGAAAGATAAGTTTGATAGTCAAAAAAATTACTGGTGCATGGCTCAAAAGGAAAAAAAACTGTATTCACACACTTACTGTCAACATTTGACAATGACAAAATACTAATATCAACTATGATGTGCAAAATGTTTTTTTTTTTTCTCATCTGTCTAGTTCAAATTAAGGAAATTTAATAAAAGGCCAGTTCTAAAATTGTATTATTGTGCTTTTAGATTTTAATAATAAACAAAATTAGAATAAAATAACAATTTGAATTATAATCTTTTTGTAAACATTTTTTTAAAAATTGCAGAAAAATAAAATTGCAGAACCAGTTTAAAATATTCCAATCTTGAAAGATTTTTCTTTTATTAAAATCTATCAAAATTCCAAATCTAAATTACTAGAAAAATATATCAACATTCCTTATTTAAGTTAAATATGTATCCATATACAAATTATACATTTACTGCATATTGTAATTTTTAAAGTCCTTTTAAGTTATGTTAAGATTTTCCACTCAGTCTTTCTTACCGTTCATAATGCCTTCTGGTACATGTTGCAGCACTAGTACTTCCTGGATTACCTCCCATAATATCATAAAGGTGTTTCCACATTCTATTATTTGTTATCTATAAAAGAGAAGAAAGGAAAAAAAAAAAAGGCTTAAATTTGAATTAACAAGCTTTCTGTTCTGAAATTTATACTCTGTACACAGTGTTGTACAAACAGGCAATCATGTGGTTGGCAATATATAAAATAAAATTTAAAGAGGGATATAAAGATTATTTTAATTCCCTCAATATATTTTAATATACTCAATATTTTAATTTTAAATACAGTATTAAGAGACAGTACTTTGGGAGAAAACAGGAAGTTAGAAAGAACAAAGATAAAGAAAAAAAAAAAATGAGGGAAGAGTATGTAAGTCAATAGAGAGAAAATAAAATAAAAAATACACATGGCGAAACAGTAGGATTAGTCAAAAGTCAAAGAAGAGAAACAAAAAAAATGGAAGAGTTGAAGTGTTAGGTGGTGAGGAAAACAATTTAAAATAAAAAATGTTTATTTTTAAATTTTATGAATTTTCTGTTATTTCACGTCACTAAATGAAAAATAAATTTCCTTTAGAAAATATTAAAAATAAAGTTTGTTTTGGTTTATTTAGAGAAATTACAAACAACAGAATCAAATTTCTTTAAGTAAAATATTCCAAGCGAGTTTTAGAGAAAAAAAAAAAAAAATTATGCCAATTCTACAAACAGATACCCGTGGTTTGATGACCAAAGAGCTATCCCTGCTCCTAGAAAGTACCTTCCCACTATACAAAAAAAAGAGAAGAGTAAAGAGTACTTCCTAATGTCTGCAACAGCCTATAACTATGCGCACTGCCAGTCAAGTATACAAATTCCCCATGTTAAAATCACTAACAGTGTCACATTTCATCATTGTGTGTGTGTGTGAGTGAGTGAGTGCTATGCTTTTTAAACTGACAATTACTACAATATAACATCAAAGAAAATTAGAGAAACTGTATTTCATTACAATAAAACCAGCTGACTTAGAAAAAAAACAAAGAAAAAAATTACATATGTTTTGATGTTTGTATACCTGAACTATTTACTATTCACTTTTCCTCAATGTTGGAAATCAGTGACAACAATAAAATCTGTTAAATCTTATTGTTTGAAGAGGAAACCATTGTTATTGAATTTTGATTATCTAAGAAACTGAAATTGATATACTGATCCTTTCCAGTTGTCTAATCAGTTTCTTGATGTTGAGATGAAATTCATCAAGGAAGGTGCCAGTTTTTTTTGTTTTGTTTTATAAAAACACAAATACTTTAGACCTTTTCTTCAGGGATATATTACAAATACAAATTTATACCAATTCCAGCTCCTTTATATTTAAACACTTGCTTTGTAAAAAATTTGATTACTACAATGGATAAATTTAAAAATTTTAAAATAGCTATAACAGAGTGCATTCATGCACGTTTTTAAAAAGCAATGACAATGGAATGTAGATTTTATCACAGTTACAATTGCATGTTTGTGATATATCTCTGGATATGGTCTTAGAAAAAGTAACAAAAAAAAAAAAAAAAAAAAAAACTATGGCAACTTCCTTGAAGAATTTTATCTCAACATCAAGAAACTGATTAGGCAACTGGAAGGGATCAATATAAAAATAAGTAGACAATATGTCTATTTTAATCAATGAAACATGTTTAAATGAAGATTATATATCACCTACCAAGCTCATAACATTGATTACATGGAGACAAACTCCATCAGAAAATTTGCTTACACAAACTGTTTTCAATTAAGGGAATGACAGCAAAGATGTTTCTTTCAGTTCTTGAGCTGCCCTGCCCTTAGCAGTATGGGGGAGGGGTGATGAGTATTGCATGATGAATTACAAACTTATAGCTATGTTTAATTATTTCCAAAAATTGTTCCCTCTATTTAGCTATCCGTTGCCTTATTTGGTTAGCAAATTATTTTTTGTGACAATCTTATAAATCAGATGAGAGGTTCTATATTGAAATCAATGTGTAAAGGAAATGCAACATATGAAAAACTATTGCAACTGTTAATATTACAGTTCCTTTTATTCTCATGAAGGAAAAAGTAAAGATATGAAGCCATAGTTGATACTATCTTGTGTGTCTATGAAGATCAAAAACATTACAAAAAGATTTGTTCTGTCAAGAATCAGCAAGGTTCTCTTCATCCAAAGACCTTTGATTTGTGAATGTAAGTAAAATATAAACCTTCAGACATTTACCATAAAAAGCTAACTGTGCATGTAACCTGTGATATCCTAGGTAGGATTTACTGAGAGCAGGAAGTGGGGGGGATCTTTCAGCAATCTTAACATTAGTTGATAAAATGAAACAATCATGGTTTTATTTAATACCAACTGAATTTGAACCTTGTATATGTTGGTCACTTTCAGCTTTTTCTCATTTGAGATTACCAATACTCCCTCTTAGGTTTAGTTTTAGTCATTTTCTACTCTGAATAAATATTTCTGGTAGAAAAAAAAAAAAAAAAAAAAAGATGAATCACAATGAGTAATATTTTTTTTTGTTTCAATCAAACATGTCACTGGGTAGTAACAGTCAAGGAGGGATTGTCAGTAATCAATAAAGCAACCCAAGTAATTATTATATTTTGTAGCATTCTTTTACTATAGAAATGCACTGAAAAATCACAAAGAAAATGATTGTCAGTGGTTAAGGAGTAAACAAAATGTTACTGACAGAACAGTGCTGTTACATGTATAATATGAATAACAAAATGAGAGAGGAAAAAAAAAAAAAATATCAAAGGATTTGTGAATATCAACAGCTGAATGTTCTTGCAAAATTAACAGAATAATGTAATATATTTAGAAACTTAATACAGATTTACAAGTATTTTTTAAGGGGAACTTAAAATCCAGGCACCAGGATTGTTGAAAGTACACTTCAAAAGCTATTCCCTTTTGTTTATAGTTTGCTAATATCGTAGAGAGACTTTCTTTCCTATAATTAAGCTTCTTCATTAAGTGATAGTAGCAATTAAAATACAAAACCCGTGATCCAATTCAAATTAAATGCTTTATCTCACAGGTGCTTATCTAGGTTGAAAAGCAATTATTAGACACTAAAGAAAATGTTTATGCATTATAATTTATTGCAATCTTTTTTAATGTTACATAAAGACTTCTCAAATTAAAAATGTTCTTTAAAAATATTTTTAGCTGAAGGGCAATACATTTTCTGTACAAAGTATCCCAGACTATAACAATATAAGTAGAAATGAAGTTTTTAAATTTATTTTTAATTGAGCATAAATAATGATTGTTAATTATATTGATTAACAAACAAAAATACTACTTATATATATTGGTCAACCATTTTATAATATACACACTTTATTTAATACTAGTTTATTTATATCATAAAGAAGAACTATAACATTTAAGCAGTTTTACAAGTACAGACAATATCAAAAACAATATACATCTGCATTTTCTTGGTTATGATCAAATACTTCCAGAACATTAAACTAAATAAAGTTCAATTCCCTGTTGAATAACTATGGTGTTTAATTTGTCAAGTTTAGCATAACAAAATTTTATTTTTACCATGTAAATAGAAGAGACCACTTTATAGAAATAGGTAATTCACCCATCTCTAGGTAGTGGACTCTTGTGATAACAAAAATTGTCTAAATCCGAAAACATTAAGATTTTTCACTATTTCTCATAACTGTAAATGGATTGATGTGTTTTTTTTTTTTACAAGTTATGAAACATTTATAGGTTATTTAAAGCCAGAAAATGTTTTTAGATTGTAAGAATTCTTTTGAAGACAATGATTTACTGATACAAGTCCAATAGCTGAAAGCAGAAGACATGGATTTATAGTTTTCTCTCTAGTATTTGCACATACATGAATATAATGAACCAGACTAGAATTGAAACTCGGTTTCAATTCTGAACTGTCATCCATTAGACCACCTGCACATCCAAGCTTACAGCACCTGATAATTCCAATCAGTGGCCCAGCTAAGTACTGACCAGACTTGACATTGTTTAAGTTTGGTGATCATACAAGAACCAGTTTTAATCTGGTATGGACATACGCCCAAACACTCTTTAGAATCAAACAAGTATAAAATAACAAGGAACAAAATCAAATACTGGAAATCAAAGTAAAAATGTACACATTAAAGATTTTCAATAACAAACATGTAATTATTTATAGGAAAATTATTTGGTAATTTAACAAGCTTTTGTTATAAATATATTGAACAAAGGACAGATAAAAATCAAGATATGAAATTCACTGCTAGCAATTTAAGGTATTGATTGCTCTAGAAATGTAACTCATTTTTACATCAATTCAAACAGATTAAAATTTATTACTATAAGCCATTGTTGTCATTATAAAAAGATTATTTCTGTAACCTAGGATATCACAATGAACTGGTGAACTTAAAAAAAAAAAAAAAAAAAAAAACTCAGCAAGCAATAAGCATACATGATTAACTCAACTGTTGGTTAAACCTAGGAGAGGGCTTAAAATATTTCTTTAGCCTTCTAACAAAACAGAAAGTAATTATCAAATACATATATATCTAATTCTGTTGCTACAAAATATTTAAGGCTAGTTTATTTAGGACATGACTGCATACACAAATTATTTTACAAAATGCATTCCTGTGCATTTTCTGGTTTATATTCAATACTAACTGAATATTAAACTATACTAAAATTAAAAGGTAACAATCTCTTGTCTTGCCCTAGTGCTAGAAATGAAAACAATAACTGAAACTAATATATATAATTAAAACAAAAGATGGTCCACATGGGCTTCTATATGTAGATTCAATAGGCCAGTTAATAAAATTTGAGGAATAAAAAGCCAACAAAAGGCTAACAATATTGGCCCAAAAAAGAAAAAAGCATGTTCAAAAATTCTGACTTTAAAAATCTTTCAGTATCTGTCTATATTTTTGAGATGAGGTATTATGTACATTATTCGGACTATTGACCTCATCTTTGTCGCCATATTTATTACATTATAAACAATTATAATGCTCCGGCCTTCTTCAGGTGGTTGGAATGTCGGACT